ATTGGAATTTAAAAAAGAAAAATGTGTTTGTGTATGTATCTCTGTCTTTCCTTATTAGATTTTATTCTGCCTTCACCTTGGTCAGCTCAACTTTGGTCCTCTCCCTCTCCCTCTCCCTCTCCCTCTCCCTCTCCCTCTCATATAAGATATATATAAAATAAAGAAATATAGATAAATAAAAGTATCTCCTTTCATCTGGGATGTAGACTTTCACAGCTGATTTGTGCCTTCTCCCCTTCAGCTTCACTCTTGCCGTTGTCATAGGAATCCTTGTGCTGCAGATGAAGACAGCCAGCAGATTTTTTCTTCAGCCAAAGATTTTGCCAGATGACAAGGAAAAGCCTTTGGCTCTTGACAACAGGCAAGTGCCCATAACTAGATCGCAACTCTTTATTTTCAGGAGGGATACTTACCTCATTTCTGAAACTGAAATAAAGTTGAAGTAAATGAGTATGTCATAGCACCAAATGATAATTTAAAATAACATAATTTAGGTATAAACTAAATTCACATTTCACTTGGAGCTACCCTAAATTACATACGAGCACATTCAGGAGAATATCTTCTCCATGACTAATAGGGATACTCCTCTGAAACTCTTCCTATTTAAATGAATAATCAACAAAAATTAAACAAATAATTAACAAAAAGTAAAAAGTAAACATCAGGAAAAGCAGGGACCCCTTGACAGATATCCACAGTCTCCACACCTGGATCCTCAGCCATGAACCAATGTGAATCTCTCCAGTGGTTATTTATTTGTACTTTCAGAAAAGCGTTCCACAATTTCAACTACTTCCTGTTCTTCTCTAATGTAATGCTCGGCCTGAGTGCCTGTCTCTTCCGGCTCTTGTGCAGTGGCATCATGGGAGCCTGGCTGATTGCTCGGATTGATAGGACCATCATGCCTAAAGGCTATGAAGTGGCTGACATGGGTAAGGGCCTAAGTTTCTTGGGGATCTGAGACCAGACGTTCCTTTGATATCCCTGAATGGAAAAACAAGCAAACCAAGAGATCAGTTCAGGTTGTGTCCTTTCATCAGTTTAACACATAACTTCATTGAATAAATTTTAGTTGATTAATGAGGTATGGTTAATTTTAATTAGTTGGTCTGGAAGCTAAAAATAGATGGTAAGGTTCAACTCCCCAACAGTTCTTATTAATTAGAAGGAAGATGTTTTGGGACTAGGCTTTGACCCTGCCATATTTTGACCCTCTATATTTCCCTACCACTTTTTTCTTACCACAAATCTATGTATGAAGGAAGGGTAGAGATGACCACTGCATAATGCCATTTGACTGGTAGCTTCACTGAAGTTTGAACCAATCATGGAGTGTTATTGCAAGACTTCACAGATGAAAGGGCCTCCTACAAATTGGGGCCAATGGCAGACTACAGTGCTGGCCAGCCCAGTCACAATAGTATATTTGAACCCATTTCTCCTTATCCATATCAGATCTCTAAACTAAAGGTGGGGAACACAACCTGATCCAAAGACAGGATTTCTTTGCAGACACGTCCACGGTATCACTAACCCCTTAACCATCCACAGCTGCTCCCACAGATACAGTTGGCTCCTGGGAAGTGCCTAGAGCACCTTGAAGCCACTTGCAGTTGAGAGACGATTGATAATCTTTTGGAGTGAGTGTCCATAATAGATCCTTTGGAGTGGGGGGCCATAATAAATTTTGTATGACCTGCCTCTTTCTGCACTGGCATCAATTCTTGCAGGGAACCTTTCCAGCATCATTTCTTATAGTTGGCTGCTTCTCTCCTGAAAGGGGAAAGGCATGGAGTGATGAGTACTAGGGAACTGCTGTCACTTGAAACTCCTCCTCACTGGGTATGCCTTCAAGTCCTGACCCTGTGAGAGCTTCATTCATCCAGTCTGATGCTCCTTTTGGGGAAAAGTGTAGGTTGGGTGAAGCATCAGGAAAACTATACTGACAGCTATACCTTCTCACTGAGGGAACCGTTGGGTAACTCTTTGGGGAGATGGGTGGGACTCACTTGAGACCCATGAACTGAACAGAGCTACCCAACCTCATCGTCTGGAATTTACCCCTTCTCTAAAGAACGTATCAGATTAATTACCTACAGGAAATTGCAACCTTCTAAGAGTACAACCAGATAGGGTTATCCATTTCTAGCTGCATTCTCTTCCCAAGTAAAGGGATTGCTATTTTCTTGCAGGATATAAGACGTGGATTGGGATGCTTTTTATGGACCACTATCACACAAATCCCATTCTTCTTTGCTTTGGCCACCTTCTTGCAGTCAAAAGTAGAGAGAATCAGCAGCAAAAAGACACATACTCTTGTCACGTCGATCAGTTAACAGGTAGGTCCTTATATGGTTTGATACATTTTTATGTTGCAATAGATAGAAGAGTTAGGTGAATATTGGCCTTTGAAAATCGGGCTTACGTGTAATAGAAAATGACAGAAGGCATTGCATTTATTTATATACCTCAAAGATTAGGAAATTTGCACTGCATTCAAACAACATAGTAGATGGGGAAGGGGGAAAATGATGACTGTGGCAATGCTTGTCTCATTCCACAGCTGAAGGCAGGAGGAGGGGTGCCTTAACTGACTGCATGCACCTTCTGTGGTCTGAGCCATGATGAGAGAGGGTTTGGGGCAACAGAGTTGCCTTTTCCAACCTGGTGATCTCCAGAGCTATTGGACATCAGTTTCCATTTTCTTCAGCCACCAAAACCAGTGACTGTAGGATGATCAGGGTTGAAGTCCTGTGCATCTAACAGGGACCAGGCTAGAAAAATCTGGACTGTGCGGATAATAGTTCATAGTTAGGTGGGTGAAGTCAGAGTGCAATGTGCCTTAGGGCATTGCTAAAGAATCACTAGGATAATGGAAATTAAACATTAGTCCTTTCTTGTTTAGATTTTAGGGTGTCCAAGAAGGCCAGGACAAGATGGCTGCTGCTTTATACCCTTCTAAAGAACCCCTGCCTCTCTGCGCTCAGGAAGCCGAGATGAGGATCTAAGCCTGTGAAGTGCGCCACTGCACTGTTTTGCCTGAATAGGGTTGGGTGGTTCCACAAGTGCAGTAGAATGAACAGAACAGAACAGAGAAAATGTCATGTCCTTTGCATATGACTACCTACTAGTCAGCTAGAAGCATATGGTGATGAAGAAATCTTGAAGGATATTTGTTATGGATATTTCTACTGTATTGAAACCCACTTCCAGTTGAGTTGGATTCAGATGAATATGATTGCTTCTGTGGTAGATCACCTTCCTTTCAAATATTCAGACTGCATTCATTTCAAGCATAGGATTATTACATGTGAAGCCAGAGGCCATTACATGAATGTTGCACAGAGCAACGTGTAAAGGAATCAGTTGTTTTATTATTGTTTTTAAATTTCATTGTAAACTGTTTTCAAAGATTTGGGGAAAGTGGATTATAAACGCTTCACATAAATAAGAAAGGAAGCACATAAATATATCCATTAAAGATGGAATCCCCAAGCATTTATATAATAACTGATTAAAATAAGGATGTTGTTTAAATATAATCTGTGTGAACTCACCAAGATCTTGTTTCACTAAAATATGCACCCAAGTATTAATCTGTTTACATTGTTCTGTTGCAAATCCTTGGCAGATCATGTCAACGTCTTTGATGGTTTTCCAAAAACTACACTTGTATCTACATGATGGATGTTGATACTGGCCAAACTGTCTTTTTTCCACAAAGAAAGATCATCTTATGTGCATAAAGTAAAACCAAACTAATTTGATGCCCTGCAAGAGGAGGAAGACATTTTATGGAGGACAAATATATGTGTTACATTACAAAATTAGGGCACCAAAATGCATCCTTATTTCACCCATGCTGAGTTGGAATTGGGCGTATCCTGAAGGTGAAAAAATTTAAATGGTGGCTGTGACCACATGATCAAAGCCCCACTCTTTTATTTTACAACTGTCACACAAATGGTATACATAATAAAGGAAAGGCACTTTGATCATGTGGCCGTGGCCACCATTGTGACTTTAAACTCCAATTGGAGATACTCCTGATTGGGATATGATCAGGAGTTAGCTGGTCCTTATCCTTAGACCTGGTTTAAGTGAAACCTTTGGATGAGAAACAGGACAGATACACAGTTGTTACCCTGTGTTGGGATAAAGGGGATACAATCTGTCAGGCTGCACCAACCAATCTCTGCAGTCAGGTGTCTCCCTAGAAGGTGGAGTGGACCTTCAGCTAAGGACAACCTAAGGTGGCTTCACATGTGGGCTGGGGAACAGATGAAGGCAACGTGAGGAGGCCATAGCAGAAAAAAATGGCCGTGCAGGCACATTTGTGCTGCAATTATATGCAAGTAATTGGCTATTATATGCTAATCGAGGATGAGAATGATTTTTTAAGCCTCTGTTGGAAATGAGTTTTACACCTTTTCTGGTCTGATTGTTTTCCCATCAAACCATGGATTGCAGAATATAGGTATAGCATTCAATCTGAGCCTGAATAAGTCAAGAATTTGTCCAAAGACCAGTGGACTCATAAAAAATAATGTATGTTTGAATTAAAATAGATACAAAATGCCAGAGGGCAGCAGCTGTTTGTGTCACTAATCTGACACAAACTGCTCCTGATCTGGATGGAGAATTTCTATTAATTATCCTCTTTATAATCAGGCAACTTACAGGGTCTGGAGTCTTCACATCCCCTGCTCTTTTAATGTCAAGATCCAAAGGGACTCATATATTAAAAGTGGGAACCACAGGTTTGTTATCACAGGATGATAAGTAAGGTTTAAAAAAATCTTTTGTTTGTCCTTGGAGAAGCTTGCTCTAAGTCAGATATAACGTATCTTGTCTGATACGCAGAGCAGGTTTTCCAGAGGAAACCCACTGTAATGTAAAAATATGAAAAGGTCACAAATCATGTATCTACCATGTTTAATTAAAAGTGAAAAAACTGGAACAAAAGGCATAGTATAGGAACGTTCCATAAAAATAGGAATTATTGAATTATTGAAATGCTCCCAAATATTAAAACAAGAATTTAACTTAAAAGATTCTGCAAAGAAAGTTCTCCTCCCAGTATGGCTCAATATGATGTGGGGCCATTTATTTGGACTTACCAATTTCTACTTTCTACTGCAGCATCTTGAAGTCAAGGGTAGGTGAACACTAATGATGTGCTTAAGGTTGTGCTGCATACAGAGCTGAGCCACTATCACCACTACCACACTTTTTAAACTTTCGGACAATGAGAAGGAGGGTCCTAAAGTTGAATGATGAGATAAACAACATAGCAGACAAAGGATGTGAAGGTAATCTGGTTATGACATCTGTCACTTCATTGATCATCAGGAGTGATTTGAGGGATGTGACTATCCAGGTGTGTGTATTCCCTTCCTCCTTCCCTGCTTCCTGTGCCCTTCCCAAAGTTGTGTGCTTGGTGGAAGAGGACAATCATCCCAGATAGAAGGAGTGTACCATCCTTTGGTCAAAGGTAGATGAGAGCTCTATTCCCCAGCTAGAACCTCTAAACATAGACACAAACATACACAAAGCTCTGATCCCAGGAAAGCTCTTCCAGCCTAGTGAAAAATGTATTAAAGCTCTGTTGCCAGAACTGGCACGATGTTAACAATATGCAGTAATGAATGCCACAAGTGCAACCCATTAGGCTAAATTGTGGTTGGATGGTTTGTGTTTCAGTGTGTTGCGTGCACAGAGTACAGTAATATTGCTCTCATCCTACTGTAATGATCTGTGGTGGACTTTGGAGAAGCATCTTAGTGTTTTTCACACGTGTCCATTGACTTTCTATCCATCTGTTGGTTTGGAATGAAAATAGTTCTCTTTTGACATGAATCGCAAACAAAAGTATTGGGTTCCTCAACTGTGGTTTTGCACAAGTACAGGCATGTGCCTTGCGATTTCAACTCATCTCTTTCATAGCTTTGTGTTGGGTTCAAGATCCCCCGCAAGTAGGAATTGCCTAGTCCTGCCCTAGTGATGGCCTAAAACAGCATTCCCAACTTGGTGCCTTACAAAGGTGGTGGGCTACAACTTCCATACTTCTCCCCATCAATTGCTGAACATGATAAGAGCTGTAGTTCCACTCACTTGGAAGGCAACAACCCGGGGAAGGCTGGTACGTAGAATTGCTTATGAAAAGTCACAATCACATTTCCTGGTTGTAATCTCATTTTTCCAGTGCTGGTCCGTACGAAGCTGTTCATGGCCAAGTATGAGGCATATGCACACTTGGGGGAATTTTTGTGTTTTGCAGAAGTACCCTAAAATATTTGGAAGTACTATTCCCTGCTCCCTCTCCAAAAGACTAATCATTCCCAGGAGGCATAGAATCTATTGGGAGAAAAATTCAAGATGGGTGGGATTATGTAATGGAGTATCCTGGAAATAGAAACTCTGCAATCCTTTTTAATAGTAACTCTGAGAATGAGCATCATAAATATGCATTTCTGACTGAAACCCCTAAGTAGCCCATAAACAGTTCTTGATTTATGAATGATCAGTTTTTGTTCTGCTAGCATGAATCTCGTGCTATGGAGCAGCCTGCCTCATGAGATTAGATTGGCACCCTCATTGTTGGCCTTCGGAAAATGATTAAAGTCAGAGTTGTTCTGAAAGGCCTTTTGGGGAATGAATGATGACCATTATGCCTACTACTATTCTGGTCGCTTGTGTTTTTATTGGCTTTTATGGTTTTGTGTTTTTATGGTATACACTGCCTAGGGTCACTTTTTTAATCCAATGGTATATAAACACAATAAAATAAATGAATAAATAAACAAATGAGTTGGTTCCTTTGAATTCAACGAGACTGTTCAGTAAACATGCACAACATGGTGCTAGTTAGCAGAAGTCAGCAATGTTTTCTCATCTAGGTCATCAGGGATCTCTGTAGAGGAGAATAATAATTTTAAAAAAATCAAGAAGGTACCTTTGATTGTGCAATCATGGGCACCATCTTGACATTTTTGACCCCCAACTCTCTTACGAGCATAATCCCTGAGGGCTTGACCCACTTGTGGATGCATTTATAATAAGCCTCTTTGGGTGGCTTTGGGCTCCATACTCACTCATAATATACACTGGTGTGGTTTGGGCTCCAGATGCCCCAGTTCAGCCATTGGGATTTGTAAACCATAGCTGATGGCTGGCTTCATGTGCTGTGTGCATCTTGCCAATTGCACCTGGATCACTAAAATAATGGGTCTTACTTCTGGGTGTGTGTGCTGAGGATTAGTTTCATATCTAGTAATCCAGGGATGTAACATGTAGCATTCCAAGGCTCTGTTTTCCAGCCAGAAATGAAGTTTCAAGAGGAAAAGCTTGAAGGGGCCACAAAAGGGAACATTCCCAGTCAGGCAAGTCTTCATCCAGCCTCTTGCTCAAGAGTGCCAGAGCCGCTCAGTCCTGCCAGGCACTGAGGGACCCAGTTATGGCCCTCCCCTTGATGACGTCACTGCAAGTGCAGAAATAGAGCAGGTGAATGGGCTTCAAATAAGAAGAGTATTTAGGAAGTGGGTTTTGGTCTTTTTGATTACTCCAAAAGATTCAGTATGTGTCCTTTCAATTCTTCAAAAACGTTAATCGTGTCTTTTGAGAAAGTAGAATGCAAACTGAAGCTTGGGTGACCTTCAACATTGGTTAGATAATGAATCAGCATAACCTTCCAGAAATTCCCCCTATTAGTAGGTAACTAGAAATCAACTTTGCCATTGGGATATTTAAGATTTTCCTTTTTTCTTGGATTTTTCCCCTCACGGGGTAGAGCTTGTCTTTGTTTTCTTAACTGCTAAGTATATCTAGGTTTAACCTTCACTTTATGTTTCCTACTTCAAAATGTCACGGAAGACCATTGTTAATCTAGCAATTGCTGATTAGGGGCAATTATACAGTTAGACCAACTGTGTTGATGGCAAAGGTCCTGGAGCACTGATTTACCCACTTCTGTCCAATGAGAATTTTAAGTCATGTTCACAACTGGAATTATTCTTCCCTGGGAAAGGACAAGGCATCTCAGTCAGTCTTGCTCAGATTCTGATTTACTTATTTGGCTTCCACAGAGAGTTATGTAATAGAGTGTGCAGCAGTGTACTTAAAAAAAAGGAAAATCAAACCACTTGGGGGCAGTGATGGACCAATTATGTCTTAGATAGTTAACAGTATCTTTCAACTGATCAATCGATCATCTTTTTCCGGAATGTTATCTGTTAAGAACCTCATAGAAAGATGTTATCCTCAAAATACAGGTTCACAGAAGTAATTGTATTCTAAACAATGGCTCTGATAGTCATTGTATATTATTTGCAGCTGGAAAGTAAATATGGTGATTTAATATTGTATGCTAACAGCCTTGAGCGCTTCTTGCCCTTTTATTGTGGGTTATTTCAGCCAGAACAATTGCTGTCTTGGCCTACATTACTACAAAATAGAAACATGTCTTAATTTACCCACTGTCTAAATCTTTACAACTAGGAATAGAGAATCTAGTGTGCTTCAAATGTGTCAGAACTTCCATCACCCCAATCCAGATGGCCAACGATGAGGGTTGAGGTTCAAAACATCTGTATA